CAAAGTACTACCTCATGTCTTGCTACATCCATAAGTTCTAATCCCTCCTTCACCTTTTCCATATCGTCCTTCATTTGTTGATTATCTACAGTTACAAAACGTCGGATTCTTCTAATTGCAGCACGCCCTGAGAGGGATCAAGTGAAAGGGACCAGCTGACTGCTCAAGAAGAAACCTTTCGTTTGAGAGAAGCGTTGCGATTCGGCCAATCTATTCATCGCCGTAGTAATCTTTTCCAAACGAGTCTGCAAAGCTACCATCACGACTGACAATAGATGAAGTCATGGGAACCTGAGAGGCAGAGTCTACATATTGCCTCAATTTTGTACAGGCAGCAGCCATGACCTCGTGGGGATCCTGCCCAGGAGGAGCCACAATGGCCCCTGTCTCAACTACAAGACGATTTGGCTGTAAACCATTAATTTGTTGATCCATCCAAGAACGCGATTGTCGTCCACCTGCATCATAGCTTCTAGGCCATCCAAGGCGCTGTCAACAGCCAGTCTGTAAGCTTCAACTTTTTTAATACCTTCTTCAAATGTTGGCTCGAGTTTCGTTTCTTCCACTATTCCTATCCTTTCGGCCGCCTAAAAAGTACAAGACGACTAATTTCTGTTTACGAAACACCGAAAGCGTGCTCAATGAGACACTAACCTTCAAGTACAACTTATTCATAACTTCAACAAGTGCAGGAGAACGATCGAGTGAGTTTTGTCCCTATAACGGGCGTATGTTGACACATTGCGAATAGCGTAGGCCATTTGATGCTAACCCTGAGAAGCAGATACTAAAAATGAACCTACTAATCCTTGAATAGCCTTTATATAGTCTATGACATCTTGATAACGTATTTATCCATATCTTCAACTTCATCTTCATTCTCAAAAAGTCATGCGAACGACCGCGGAGTTACCTACCTGAGTTATAAGACTGTGTAAGTGGATTGCTTCCACTTGTAAACAAGTGAAGATTTTTTTAGATCCCTGAAATTTTATGTTAGTTTTGTCAAAAAACACTTCGTCGCGATCGCCTACCAAAAAGTCGGGAAACACTCCAAAAAGTAACGTTGTATAAGGCACTGGAGCTTGTGCATGGAAAAGATCGAGAAAGGAGACTCTTTCTTCACATAGTACAGACTATTTCCAGAAGATTACCAAAAAAACTTAAATTATAACTGCTAACGGCTGCGCTTCATAGCTTTCTTATCCGATTTGAAGGAAGTGCACTCACTGACACGCACGTAGCATTTGCAGGTTTTATTTCGTTTTCGTTTACTACTGAACCAATAGTTGGCTTTTGGCAAAACCAACTATTGGTTCAGTAGTATCTACAAAGTGAGCAATTGTATTGCATAGTAAATGTATTGTCAAACCCTTTATTCGATTCCAACAGATTTCTTCTGGAGTCCGCGCAAGACTTCTAGCTGTGGAGAGGACGGTGCGATGTTCCAAGGAAGGAATTTCCTTTACGCAAAAATAAATTCATTGGATTTGTCCAGGACTGGCTCCTTTCTCATCACCCGCCTGCTGAAAACGGTTTTGTTCCCTCTGTGTCAGCCTAACGAATCAGCTTCACAGCAATGAACAACTTTTAAGGCGATTTTAATCACACACAATTCATTAATGATCGCTATTTCTGTTCCGCGTATCGAGTGTAGGTTATCAAAGTAAAATCCACAGCCTTCAGAAAATAATCCAAAAAATAGTCCCATTCAGGTATTTTCGCTTATGAAGGGATGAAGGACAAACAATCACTTTAAAAACAAGAATTTATAGAGACCAAACGAAATTCTACTTAATCGCATAGAGTACCCAAGAAACGTTCAATGCAACTGATAAGCACTTTTGCATGCCTGCGGCTCTCTTAGCGATATCTTAAAGGCAGTGGCTGGGCAGAATTTCGTTTTCCAGTTTTCCACCTTTTCGGGACCCTCTCGGCATGAGGAACCTATATCTGAGCTTCTCCCTGCGTAAAAATGGCAAAAAGAGCCCTTTTCAATGCTTTTCAGGTCCGCATTCAATGCAATACGCCGGAAGTTCCGCGCCCCACCTCTCTCCTTTCGAGCTCCGCCCACTTAGCGTATCTTGCAC